GGGGGTGGGGGGGGAGAAGTGTGTCTCAGACCGGGCGCGGCCGCTCCCGGGGCATGGACTGGCCCCCGGGGTCCCCGCCCGCGCCCCCCTCGCGCCGCCGCGGCCGGATCACCAGGCGGCGCCCCCGCGGCTCCCGAGACAGCCGTGCGCCATGGTCCCCGCGCGGAGGGGTGCTGGTTGCGGCCGGGCGGGTCCCTGGAGGACTAGGGGCCGTCCCGACCGGACCGATCCTGCGAGAGAAACAAGAGAAACGTCAGAGGGGGCGCCTTGTGGTGGCAGGGCTGGTTGAGTCGACAGCTCGGCTCTTCTTTTAGGTACTAATTAGGCACCTGCTGTGACCCGTCGTGATCCCGGCCTTCTTGGGCCAGGGTCTGGTCTGCCCCTTTTCCCCACCCCCACCCCCAGCCCCCAGCCCTGGATCCTTCCTTTCAACTCCCATCACCCGCCTGTCCTCTCTCAGCCTCCGCCCACTTTCTCACGGCCCGGTCCGGCTCCTTCCCCGTGGTCCTCCCTCCAGGAGCCCCCATGCCCACCGGAGCAGGGCCCTTACCAGCTGTTCCCCCTGACGCTGGCCGACAATCTATCTAGCCCAGCCCAGCCCCTGGAAATCCCCCGCCCCAGAGAGGGAGCAGGTCCTTCTAGAAGGGGTCTTCAAGGGCTGCCAGGACCCAGGCCTCCTGGGTGCACAGAATCCAGCACCCAGCCTGCCACCCACACTCCTGCCTTCTCACAGCAGGTGAGGGGTCACTTCATCCAAACCAGGAGCCCAAGGGAGGCCCTCGGATCTCCTGCTCGTCCCTGCACAGCCCCTTTCAGAGATGGGGCACATGAGTCCCCAACGGCCTTGCTTGGAGGTGTCGAGTGACTTTGGGCAGGGCCACAAGCCCTCTGAGCTTACCACGGTGTCTCCGCATTCCCCCAGAAAACATTCCTTTTGCAGGGTCTGAGACACACTTCTCCCCCCCACCCCCACCCCGGACCAGCACCGCGGTCCCCAGATCAATCCATCTCTCCCTCCCTCACCCCTCCATCAGATCCTGCTTTCAGCAAAAAAGGATCTGAGGGACTAACTCCTACTCAAGCCATAATGATGAATAATGGCTTAATGTGGGTGTTTACAGGGGACAGCAATGCTGCTTTAAGGGAGGAATTTTAGGCACCGACAAGAGTGAGTGGAGGTGAGGGGCTCAATCTCCACCCCTCTCCCCAAGCCCGGTTCAGCTCAGTTCAACAACTCAATTCCACGGGGCATCGGCTTGGCCTGGTTTGGGCTGGACAAAAATAAGTTCACAGTTTAGAGGCGTGGGGATGAGACCTCCCAATAACAACCTAAATGCCAGGCAGAGTGTGAGCAGGGCTGTAAGAGGGGCTCCGGGAAGGGAGTGGGCACCTGTGTCTGCAAGGGGAAGGTGGGTGGGAGGGAATTAGGGCTGTTTCTTGGAAAAGGGGGCATCTCCGGCTGGTGGGGGGAGTTAGGTTGGAAGCATGAGGGGTGTGGCTGGGCAGAGGTCCACCTGCGGGTGACCCAGGTGGCTGGAATCTCGGGGGGGGGGGGAGAAGAAATGTAGACCACCCCCTATGACCCAGCACCAAAGAGGCCAGTTCTCATCCCTTTAACTGACTTGTGTGAGTCACAGCAGCTGTGAAGGTTAGTGTTTTATACCCGTTTTGCAGACGCTTGATTCCCCAGTGCTCTTGCCGGGCACGGGCACCAGAATATCCTTACGAAAGGGGTTCCGGGTAGGGAGTCTGTTGGAAGGGGGGACGCAGGAGGTTGATGCTGCATTTGAGAGCCTCACAGCCCCTGGGGAGGAGAGGAGGGAGGAGTCCCGGACGTGCTGGTCCCTCTTTCCCTGCAGGCCCCACCCTGAACTAACGGAGGTCAGGAGGGCCCGTGACCCTGCTGCGAGCACCCCCAGCACCCCGTCCCACCCCCTCCTCACCCGCTCTGTAGGGCCTGGGCGTGAAGGCGGAGCTGAGGCCTGAAGACACCCCCCTCCCCTTGGGGCCCTGCTCTGTGATCCCGGAGATGTGCTCCGGCCTCTGGGGAGCCGGCTCTGATTCTCCACGTTACAGCCTGGGCCGGTCGTAATGAGGTTGGAGTTATGGGTGAGGAGAGGAGGCATCGCTCCGCAGCCTCCATTTCCTGGAGCTTATGACTTCCCTGCGGGCTCGGCAGGAACTGTTCCCCTGACTCCATCAGGCAGTTCCAGGACCCATCAGGGCCCTGCAGGGACGCAGAGGGGAGGGGCCGGCTGGAGGGCGGGTGGGGGGGTGGCGCTGGGGCCACCCCTGGGGACAGCTGCGGAGGCGAGGCGCAGGAGGTGGGAACAATGGGAGATTCCCCCCACCCCGTGTTTGCAGGCACCCCATCGCCGCTCTCCCTCTTTCCTTTCCCTTCTTTACACCACCTTTTCAAGGATTCTATCATTCATTCCTTCATCGAACATTAGCATCTACTACAAGTGGGGAGACAGAAGTGCATGCATTCACGCATTCATTCATTCATTCATTCAACATACTTTCAAAATCGTTTCTCTGTGAAGACCGCAAGATACGATCAGTTGCTCAGCTATATCTTCTGGTTATTCATTTACTCTTTCAACAACTATTTACCACACCTCCCTGATGCCGGCCCCTGTGCTGGGCCCTGGAGACAAAGCAATAAACAAAATAGTCCTGGCCCTCCTGGAGCTGACCTTCTAGTAATAAAGGAAAGAAATCTACCATATAATTTCTGGGGGCGAGAAGCGTTAGGAAGGAATACAAAACAGGAAAAGGGGAGGAAGAGAATGATGGAAGGGCTGGAGTGGGCGTCTTACTCTAGATGTGATATCAGGGAGGGCCTCTCAGAGGAGGTGATATTTGGCTGATCTGGAAGGATGAGAAGAAGCCTGGCACAAAATGGTTCCACGCAGAGGGAACAGCACATGCAAAGGTCCAGAGGCTGGAATAAGCTGAGGAACAGGAAGGAGGCCACTGTGGCTGGTGCAGAGCAAGAGGGTGGCTGCGGATGACTTGGCCATTTTATTCTGTGTGTGCAGAGAAGGGCCTGGGGAGTTTTATACAATAAAAACCACAGGAGACCGAAACGGTCTATGGCCATGAGGGGATTTCGTGATGGAAGGCCCTCAGCACAGAAGGGCCAAGCGCAACACAGTGGGCCGTGGGGTAGAGGAGGTGTCACCTGAAGTTCAAGTGCAAGAAGGATTTGGACACATGGAATTCGGGCTCTTGGGGAAGAAGGAGCGCTCTGTGGAAGGTCTGGGGCGGGGGGGGGGGGGGTGGTGGTGGGGCAACGGCCAGAGGTCAAATTTCACTTTAGAGAAAGCAGAATTCAAGAGTGGCGGAGTGCGGTCTCGAACCCAGGCTTGGATTCCCCTTGGCGTGGGGCACCTTTGAAGGACTAGGAAAAGTCACCGCTCTCAGTGATAACAGCCCCGTGCCGGGCGGTGGGGGGCCGTGCTGGGCGGGACAAGGGTGGCTGCATCTCGGCCCCAACCTGCCACCCTGGCTGGGCCCCCTTGGGCAGGGCACACCCAGCGCTATGGTTTGAGGCGCCCCCCCCCCCCCCCGCCGTGTCTCCTCCCCGGGCCTTCATCCCGCCCACCTGGGCCTCTCTCAGGCGCTGGCCTGGCCAGGGTCCCCAGCCACCTGCCAGACTCCTGCAGCCGCTACGTTTCCTGAGTGGGTGTAACCACAGGACCCTGTCCTGGCATTCAGTCCTTCACTGGGGGCCACTGTGGAGCCTCAGGCCTGCATTCCCATCTGCCAGGGGTTCCCAGGAGATCTTAGGCATGCTGGTGGCTTTCTCCAGGCTGCAGGTCTCAACCTGCCGCGCGGTTGTTCAATCCCAAGTGGGGTTAAAAGCCAAGCCCCAGGCTGGCTCCGTAAACGTCGGCTGTGCTCTCTCCTCTCTTCAGCCTCTGCTCCCATAACCCATGTGCTCTGGGGCCCGTGTGCGCGTGTGTGGTTCCTGTGTGTGTGGGCCTGTGCCTGCAATCACGGACGTCAGCGTGTGTGCGTGTACGTGGTGCACATTCACTCATTCCAGAAATATTCGTGAATTTCCACTCTGTGCTGCTCTAGGCACAACAAGAAACGGGCAGAGTCCTCGCCCTTGCAAGTCTAATGGGGGACAGACGGTAAACAAATAAATAAAGAAACCAATAAATAACATGATAGGTCATGGTAAATGCTATCGAGGGAAACAAAGCAGGGTAGGTACCAGAGTGGGGGGATTTGCTCTTTCTGTCTCTCAATCGTCTGTATAAATGAGAATTCATACAAGGTGGCCATGGAAGGCCTCACTGCTAAGGTGACATTTGAACAGACCTCCAAAGGGAGGGAGGGAGGGAGGGAGGGAGGGAGCTGTGCACATAGCTGGGAGAAAAGCATTGCAGGTGGCAGGAACGGCAAGTGCAAAGGCCCTGAGGTCAGTGTGTGTTTGGTGTGCGGGAGGAACAGCAAGGAACCCCTTGTTGCTGAAGTGCGTGACGAGGTGTGAGCAGCAGATGAGCTCAGAGAAAATACGGAGGTGGGCATCAGGGCCTGCTGCGTCTTCTTTGGGTTTTTACTGTCCGATGGGACCCCTACCCTGGGAGGGCTTGAACAGAATGATGTGATCTAATTTATGTTTTAAAAGATCATACTGGCGGGGCGCCTGGGTGGCTCTGTCGGTCGAGCGTCCGACTCCCGCTCGGATCTCGCGGTTCGTGGGTTCAGGCCCCACATCGGGCTCCCTGCCGTCAGCACAGAGAGCCTGCTTTGGATCCTCTGTCCCCCTCTCTCTCTGCCCCTCCCCCGCTTGCACGCGCACGCACGCTGTCTGTCTCTCTCTCAAAAATAAATACAGACATTAAAACAAATGTAAAAGATCATGCTGGCTAGCTATTGTGTGCAAAATAGAAGGAAGCCGGGGCTGGAAGGGGCTGGGGGTGCCGTTTCAACAATGCAGAGGGGAAGTGAGGGTGGCGGGACCAAGGCGGGGACAGGGGGCGCTGCCTGTGTGGCAGGCTATGCTGTGGGTCGGAAATGGGGCGCCAGGGGAAGAGGAACCAAGCACGACCACCCTGCAGCCCCAGTGGCGGGAGTGGGGGGGGGGTTCCGGCTCCCCGAGCTGAGGACAGCTGTGGGCAGAGCAGAAGTGGGGGGGGATCAGGAACTCCGTCTTGACGTGTTACATTCAAATGCCTCTTAGGCGTCCAGTAGTGACATCAAACAGCCCAGGGCACCTTCTGCCAGGACCTCAGGAGCGGGGTCCTGGCTGCAGGCGTGCATTTGGGAACTTGGACGGTATTTAGAGCCGGGACCGGGTGAGCCCACGAAGGACTGAGCGCAGGTGGAGAAGAGGTCCAGCACCTCAACCACGGAGATCTGGGAGACGGAGAGGGCGGAACCAAGGAGACTGAACAGGAGGAGAGTGGAGGGCAGGGGAGGGGAGCCAAGGGGAGGGGGGGGTCCTGGAAGCCCACTGGGGACCGTGCTGTAAGGAGGAAGGGGTCATCAACCGTGCGGACTGCTCTCTCAGGCGAGCGACCGTCTGTCCAGCTTTGCCCGTGCGTGACAGTCCTGCTTTACATCCGGTGTCCGGGCAAACCTGTTATAGTGTCCCGCCCCCTTTTACTCCCAGTTTAGATGATGAACTATATGGTCATCCTACCGCCAGGTCAAGTCCGCTGTGGACTTCATTGAGTTGACCGTCGGTCTTGGCCACACGGAGGTCAGCGGTGGCCTCGATAAAAGCGAGTTTGGTGGCGCGGTCGGTGTGCAGGCTTGAATGGAGTGGGTTCAAGAGAGACTGGGAGGTGGGGAGGCAGAGACATCGGTGGGGGTGGGTGACAGCCCCTCTAGGGATTTTTTAAGGTCACTTTCGCCTGCTCCCCCAGCTCCCACCCCTACCGCAGCAGTCTGCTGGGTTTTATGGTACGTAAAAGAGACAGATGGTGGGGACGCCTGGGGGGCTCAGTCGGTTGAGCCTCCGACTTCGGCTCAGGTCATGATCTCACGGTTCGTGGGTCCGAGCCCCTCATCGGGCTCTGTGCTGACAGCTCAGAGCCTGGAACCTGCTTCACAGTCTGTGTCTCCCTCTCTCTCTGACCTTCCCCGCTCATGCTCTCTGTCTGTCTCAGAAATAAACATTAAAACAAAATGTTTTAAAGAGACAGATGGGAAATACAGCCTTGGCCAGCTGCTAATAGCCAGTCCCTTTCCCAGTCCTGTCTTGCTGCGATTCTGTCTCAATATTCACAGAATATTGAGCTTGGCCATATGCTCACCCCCTCCCCTATGAATAGTGATTCATCTAAAGGAGCGAGAACCTTTCTCCTCTCCCCACCAGTGATTGGTTTAGAAAGTATCATGTGACACAATTCTGGCCAATGAGATCTGAAGGGATAACTGCTAGAGAGCTTCTGGGAATTGTTTGCCGCTCTTTAAAAAGAGATGCCTCGAGGAGAAACTCTTCATTTTCTGCGTGTGTGAAGACGTGATGGCTGGAGCTACAGCAGCCATTTTGGGACAATGAGGGAAGCCCCCCCCCCCCCAACCCCCACCCCACACCCCCCTCCGCAAGAGGCTAAAGGGGCTAAGTAAGAAAGAGGGTACAGTCTGTGGCTTTGATAATGTTGTTGAGCCACTGACTTTTCCCACTGTGGGCCTTGAGGATCCAGTGCCCTACTTCCGGCCCCTACTTCCTCCAGACTCTCATTCTCTCTCCTCCAAACTCCCTCAGACCTGTCTGCCCGAATCTTCTCTGGGGTTCGGTGTCAGCTGTGATGGCAAGCTTCTGGAGGACAGAGGGCACGGCCATTCCTTCTTCTGTCCCTCCCTGCCCCTTCCCGCACACGCCTGCCAGAGCCAAGCACAGAGCTGGGTGCTGGGAAGGACTCCGGAGAATGTCGCCTCGGACAGATTGTGGGAGCTGCTTGGGCAACATTCTTTCCCTCTCACTGAGGGGCTGGCAGGCTTGCTGATTTGCTGTGGCCTTGTCTATGCTCCGGGCATCACTGCCACTGCCCACACTGTGTCCTTCCAGAGTCTAGGCTGGGTGGCCAGCGTGTCCTCTCTTGATTTCTCCGTGCCCTGGTATCATTGCTGCCAAGGCTGTCCGACTGCCAGCTCCGTGGCTCCAGGTCCTCCTTTGTCATCTGGCTGTCTCCCTGGGCACAGAGGAAGGGCTTCTCATCCTACTCATCCCACGTTTGTTTCCCAGCCTGTCTCTGTGCCAAGACCAGGAAGAGGGGCTGGGCACCGTGACCCCCCAGGCGGGACAAAGCAGGGGAGACATCACGGTGCAGCCGGGACCTCCTGACCTCTGCCTCCTCCCCACGGTTCCTGATCATCTTCTTAGCCCCTCTCTCTGGGGCAGAATTTAGCGCTCAGGGGGCCTAAGAGGATGGGGTCCAAAGTCAGACCAGGGTTTGAGTCCTAGCTCCATTACTGTATGCTCACCTTGGCAGTTTGCCCCGTTTCTCTGAGCCTCGGTTTTCTCATCTGAAAAAGGGGCTAATAGTGCTCATCTCCTCCGGCCGGTGGGAAGACCAAATAGGACGACACCCATGAGGGCGTTTCCGGCCTTTGGCAGTCAATGTTGGCTGATGAGATAATAAGGACTATGGTCACCGTTCCCGCTAACTCGACTACTCCTGGACCCCTAATTTGTACATAGTATCCTGACCAGGTGAAAGGGGCTCAGAGGTATTTTTCTGCTCATTCGTGTAGTCACTCATGCGTTTATTTAACAACCGCTCTGGGGCCCACGGGCACACCTCGCTGCAGGAAGAGGGAAGGCGTGTGCAGGGTAAGGGGGTTCCTCCTGCACGGGTGCAAGGCTGGTGCCCGAGACGAGGGCCACGCAGGGAGAGGCAGCTCATTCTTTTGCTCGCGCATTCGTTTACTCCCCCCGCCCCGCCCCCTGGCTTGGCGTGGATGCGTCCTCTCTCCCTGCCCACCTGGCTCCCAGGTTTGCCAGCGGGAGCTGTGCCTGGCAGCCTGGCTCCTGTCTGCACTCTCTGTGCTTGGCTGCTGTGTTCTCCCTGGGGAGAAGGAAAATTATTTCTACCAGCTCAGTGCTCTCCCTTCCGGCCAGAAGGGATCCTAGCGTAAGGCAGGAGCTGTTGGAGGGGCCACCCCGTGTCTGCTCGCCGCTCTTGCTTCCCGCGGCTCCCGGGTGGAGGGCCCCGCGAAGTCGCCAACAGGAGAACAGACTAGTTATTGCCTCGCGTGCCTCGGGGCACCTGTGTGCCAGGGCCCGTGTGTGCTCAGCGCCCGGTCCCAGGGGCGACTCCCGGCATGTGTGGGCGCTCAGCAAGTGTGGCGCGAGGGGCCGCGTGGGTGTCTGCTCCTGTGGGCTGAGCCCACGGGCTATTTCTGGGGCCGTGGGTGTGATGCCAAGCTCAGCAGTGTCCTGCTGGGGTGGGCTGGGGTGGGGGTTCACATCTCTGAGTGTGTTTGGGGGTCGAGTCAGGATGCGCCAGAGCTTCTGGGCTTGGTAGTCGGACCATTAGCTAGGGAGGCAAAGGTGGGGGGCCGGGGGAGAGGGGACGAGCGGGGCAGGGGCCATACGCACCCCATTCACGCGGTCACCCCATCTGCAAAGGCTGCTCCAGGGGCCCCCAGTCTTGTCCCCCCCGCCACGCTGAGCGTAGATTTGCCCTCACGAAGCCCAGCTCGGTCTGAAAGTTTCTCCCGGGCCAAACCTTCCCTGGCTCTCTTTCACCTTCGAGGTAAAGTTAGTTACCATTCAGAGTAACAAAGGGACTTTCACGCTCAGGGACTCCGCACACGATCCGTGGAGGTGAGCACTCCTATTTGCGCTCATTTTCCAGATGAGGAAACCGAGGCGTGATGAGGTCGTGTGGCACGATGTGGGGCTGGGGTTTGGACCCTAGGCTGTTAGGTTCAGAGCCTGTCTGTTAGCCACCACACACGCGGCGGCTCAAGGCCCCGTGAGATCTGGATCTGCCCCCTCTGCATTATCGTCGCCGTATCTGACACGTGCAGGTGCGGAGGGCACCGCCCACTCTTTCCTACTGTCGTGCCTCAGGGCCTTTGCTTCTGCTGTTCCCTCTGCCAGGACGCTCTCTCTCTCCCTTGTTGCCCCACGTCCAACCCTGACCGGGTTCCTCCCCTCCGCACAGTCTCTCTGTCTCCTCCCCCAAGCCCCCGTGAGCTCACTTATCTGAGCCATGGCTCAGAGCCAAATTCGCCCTTGACTGGCCTCAGCACCCGCCCCTGTTGCCGCTCTGCACCCTCCAATCCATACCTCTGTGCCCCGCTCAGAGTGGCCACTACTGAATGTGTGAGGGAGTGGGCGCAAGAGGGTGTGGATGGCTGGTTGGACAGAAGGGCAGGTGACGGGGGTGCCTGTTTACTGCCACGCCACCACACTGCCCTTCTGTGGCACACCTCCCTCTGCTTATTCCGTTTTCTGAGTCATCAGATATTTGTTGAGCACCTACTATATACCGGGCACTGTGTTGGAGGCTAAGGACGTAGCATTGGGTGAATCAGGGTCTCATGGTCATGCCCTTCCGGGGCGTGTGTGTGCGCGCGCACGTGTGTGTGTGTCTGTGTGTGTGTGTGTGTGTGTGTGTGTGTGTAAGGGGACATATTTATTAAGCCAATATTCTCAGGGAAGCGCACAATTCTCCACAACCAGAAAGTACAGCCCTCCCTCCCCCCACCGTATTTCACAGGGGATACGATCTCATTAGGACCGGGTGGGGCCGGGGAGGGGCAGTCCGCTGAGCCAGGGGTTTTGACCTGATGCGTAAAGAAAGCACAGATGACCTCACTGCAGGTAACAGAACGAGCAAAGCCACATTTGAGGGCCTGGGAGCTCAGGGGCCAGAGCGCAGTGTGGACGGCGAGGCAGCTGCCCATGGAGTTTAAAGAGTTCAGTTTCTGGCTCCAGAGCAACGAGAAGGCATTGGGCACCGGACAGGAAGCAGGGGACCAGTGAGACGGGGGTGGCAGTGTGGCCAGAGACCTCCCTCAGACCAGGGAGGCCATCCTGGGGTGGAGATAAGGTGACAGATATGAAATATTTAGGAAGCAAATGGGCCAAACTTGGCGACGGATCAGACAAGGCGAACGGGGTGGGGCGGGGGAGGGGGGCTAGATCAAGAGCGACCCATGATTTGGTTGTGTTTCAGCGGATGGCTGTTGATCACCTCCTAAGAGCCGGGCACTGTTCTAGCACTTTCTGCCTCACCTTACTTACTGTTCCCAAGAAACCCAGGTGAGTCATCATCACCCCTTCGCGATCTCACTTCTCTCTGGAAAGAATGCCGGGGCAGTGGGACCCCCTGGGCTTTGCCCCAAACCCGGCTCCTTTGGGGGACAGCCTTGGTGGATCTAAGGGATGGAGAAGGGAGACTGGCAGGCGGGTTGCACATACTGAGCTGATTCTGAGTCAGTGAGAATAATGACAGACAACATTCATAGAGCTTTTACTGTGTGCCAGGCACGGTGCCATCCAATTAGCTAATAATGAGGGGTAACACTTAGTTCTCTGCAGAGCACTTTATGTCAGTGGTCTGATTGCATTGTCGCAGCAGCCGCCTTTAAAATTTCCATTACAGAAGAAGGGACAGCGGCTCAGAGAGGTTGAGGGACTTGTCCGAGGTCACACAGCTCGTGGATGGTGGATCTGGAATTCAAACGGGCTGTGGTAGGGGAGGGAGAGGAGGATGGGCACAGGGGGCGTTCGGCGACTGCCTCGAAGGACAGGCCTGCGATTGGCTCTGAGCATGAACCATGTCCCTTCCCCCCAGTTCCTCCTGACCCTGCTCACCC